TCCAGCCCGGGCTAGAGTGCAGTGGCACGATCTCGGTCCACAGCAACCTCCACCTTCCAGGTTCAAGCGATTCTCCTGCCTCAGTTTCCCAAGTAGCTGGGATTACAGGCGCGCACCATAATGCCTGGCTAATTTTTGTATTTTTTCAGTGAAGACGGGATTTCGTCACGTTGGCCAGTCTGGTCTCGAACTCCTGACCTCAAGTGATCCACCCGCCTCAGCCTCCCAAAGTGCCAGGATTACAGGCGTGAGCCACCATGCCACGCCGCCCACATTAATGTTTCAAAAAATTGAAAACCAGCATTTAAGTACTTTCCAAGAGCCTCAGTTTGATGCTGCGGTATGGCAAGAATGGAGGCCGGGTGCCCTGACTCACCCCTGTAACCACAACACTTTGGGAAGCCAAGGGGGGAGGATCACTTGGGCCCAGGAGTTCAAAACTAGCCTGGGTAACATGGTAAGACCTCATCTCTATAAAAATAAAAAGAATGGAGCCTCACTTCATCATCCATGCAACTGTAAGCAACATTTTCAAGACAGAACAACCTAATGTCACCGTTCTTGTTAGTTTTTTTCATAATTACCGTCAAAGACTTATACGTCCACCAGTGTAAAGCACTTAACAGTGTCCAAGGAACATAAAAGAAACAGATGTATTCTCAACTTAAAAAATCACCAGTAGTTGAGGGATTGATGCTTTCAAAGAGCCCTTTGTGATTACTTTTCATACAGGAAGAGACTGTTAACTTTGGTGGAAAACAAGGAAAGGATGGCCTAGCTTTCTATTAGATTAGATAAACCTTTATTAAAGTCCAGCAAAGATTATTTTATAGATGACCATAGAGATAAGGTCAGCTACATTTTTTTGAGTTTAAAAAAAGAAGGTAAAGTAATTTATACTTTAAGCCCATTTATGGAAGTCTGTAAAGGACATTGTTAAACTGGTAAAAGAATAATGATAAAAATTATTTCACTAGAAGTACACTTAGTGTTATACTCATGATAAAGTGAAGACGAAAAGGAAGTGTAAACAGCAGAGATCAGAAATTGTTTGATGTGATAAAATACAAAATGCATTTGTTGAAAGTACAATAGGACCTTGAGGACACCTAAGATCCTTGAAAGCATTTAGTAATTAAGCACCAGACATTTTTTTTTTTCTGAAGTTGCTTTTTATTGTCATTATCTCATCTGGGGGACCAGCACCAGACTTCTTACACTTAAAGGACCTGTATCTTGCCTTGACAATTTTGATAATTGTTTTAGTATTAGAATTCTGGGCACAGGAAGTAACAAAGATGTGCTTGCCCTTGGGGAACTCGAATAAGGAGGCTGTGTAAGGCAAAATAAAAACATTCCTAAGTACTTTCATTTTCTCACTTAAGTAAACATAATAAAAGGAAATTTTATCTAGGGAGGTTGAGAGCAGAACATTTCAAAAGAGAATGCTATGAATACAAAATAGCTGGTTTCAAAGCAGTAAAAGGAATTTTGATTACGAGCTAAAATATATTTGTTCCTTCAGAGCTGTTAATGTACATCAGATAGTTAAAAGCATTTACTCAAGGTTTTGACAGTGTTTTAATAAATTAACTAAAAATCTCTGACATGTTTATAGGTCCTTGAGCCAGAAACGATAGAAGGCCTTTCAATCATTTTTCCAGAGAAAGATTAGTCAGAAAAGAAACTTGATTTTCACTCCACATCAGAGACTGATGGGAATTCAAATAAGAAGCAATAAATTACTGGCTTATGAGAAAACGTAGACCTTCTTGAATAAAGTTGTGGTAAGTCATTTTTTTGTATCCCAAACATTAAAAAATATTTATCTCCCCCTATAAAGGCTCTAGTTTTGTTGAACTAAGCATGCCGTATAAAAATTAACCATTTATCTGATACCTGATACTTAGGTTATATTTAGTGTGAGCAAGTTGCATCTTCTGTTGGAATTCAGTTGGCCATAATTAATGCCAAGTAAGAATTTTTCATCTGAGCCCTTAAGCCACACACTCTCCCCAAGGAGAATAATTTTAAAATAAACAATGACTGGCAAATAGGTGATTTTCAAGCAGTGCTTTTTACATGAGTCATTAGTTGAATAAGACATTATTTAATTCCTGAAAATCACCAGTAGCCATATTCTTCATGGATTATAAATCACAGGGCACAGCAAACAAACCAGCTCCACTAAAGAGATTTTAAAAATCAATATAGAGGCCTAGAAACAATAAGCAGTACCAGTGAGCACCCCTGGTGTCCAAGTTGGGGCCTCTACAGTTTTCCACCAAAGGAAAGGGAGAAGTGATTGATTCCAGGGCTGGAGCAGGAAAGTATAAGATAAGCCAGAAACATCTCCTTATAGCAGAAAACAAAAGAAGAAAGTGTACAAGCTTACTAGGAGTGTGTCAAAGGGTTTCAGGAGCCAGTTTAAGGAGGCTCCAGTTGTCTAACGTTAAGAAAATTTGAATGTCAAAAAAAATTGCTATGAATTGAAACACAGTGGATATGTTAATGAATTTATGAGACTTTAAAAATGATCAACTAGGCCGGGCGCGGTGGCTCACGCTTGTAATCCCAGCACTTTGGGAGGCCGAGGCGGGTGGATCACGAGGTCAAGAGATCAAGACCATCCTGGTCAACATGGTGAAACCCCGTCTCT